GATGCCAACCCTGAAACAACATACAGAACTACCACATTTTGCTATAAGTTTGATTGCATCATATAATAATTGTTGTTAATAGTGTTCATCGTCTGTTTGATTACGTCTTTATTTGATTACGTCTTTAATTGATTTTTCCGTACATTTCTGCCATATGTACATTAACTGACAGTCACCACTGATAAGCTAGCCTACCACTAAATGTTGTAGAAACTTAATTTGCTGTAAAGTTGCTTTGCAACGATTTGTGTCGTGAAAAGCGCTATACAAATAAACTTGAATTCAATTGAATTGATTATGCCCCGAACTTCACATGTTTGATAAGTGTCCTGGCCTGAACACGTCGACCAATGTTCAGTTATAATCATAGCGCCAGGGGCGGTTCTAGGGGGTGGCCAGTGCCCCCCCTCCCCTTGCCCCCCCAAATTTGGAACCAATCACATACGATTCTGTTGAGTTTATGAATGCAAGGACCAATCAGAGGCGTTCAGATTAGTCATTGCTGAAACACGCTGTTTCGTCACCGCGCGCGCTGGCTGACTGAATTCTCTGGCCAATTCTCTCATCAGAAACAACAAAGTGAAGATGTACGAATGTAAGTAAGATATTAATTTCACAGTGTAAACTGCTTTAGAGGTAATTATGGGAGTTTCTGAGATTGCTTGAACTCGCTGGACTGAAGTGAAAATGTTCTTTGATAATGTAAAGGTTCTTTGCTCTCTTTTTGTATAAATTAAAGTGTTATAGGCAAATTTGTAACTTACAATGTTTTTATGAAGTTCGCATTAAATACAAAGTCAGTCGTATTAAAAATATTTTATGGTATGACACCCGTATCTGGTACTTGAGATGGTACAAAAAGATAGATTATACTATTAGGCTACTTTGCCCATCGCTCATTATAGATCAACTAACATAATCTATAAAGGTGCAAAATGCATTTACTTACACATCGAATCGAGATATTTCATGATATATTTTGGGAATATTTCGAATAAAAATACATTAATAACCCTGCTGAAAAAAAAAAAACAGTAGACACCATTACAAAATTTGTAATGGTTTTACTGGTTATAATGGGACTTGTATTGGTTTTACTGGAAACTGTAATGGACCCTGATGGTCTCTACTGGTAATTGGTTGCCTTCTATAGGTGGCTTGTTAAAACCAATAAATCCTAATGGAATTTGTCCCAAAACACACTACAGTCAACCATTTTGTAATGGTTAAAAGTTGACGGTTTGTAATGTTTGTAATGGTTATTTGTAGTGGAAACCATTAAAATTTTCTGTGATGGTTTTATTGTTTTGTTTTTTTCAGTAGGGACATAAGCCTATATCAGTTATACAGTGGTATTGTGGCTTAAATAAATGAAACATGATGAAACATTCGTTTTAGTTGAAATGGTTATAGATTACTTCTACAGATTGCAGTGATACATGACATGGTGAAAAATGACTGAATGACTAATACTTAAAGTAGGTTAAGATGAATTTTAAAATTGTGCCCCCTAAAAGCACAAGTGGCCCCTGTCTGGCCCCCCCAGTTACTTTGGTCTAGAACCGCCCCTGCATAGCGCCAACTGCTGCCAACAGGAAATGACTTGTTTTACACCAACTTACACATGCAATGTCTATATCTGCCTCAAAATTTCAAAATGCCTCAAAATTTCAAAATTCACGTTTGGTAAGAGCAGGAAATTTGGCACATATAAATGACTTTGATATATTCCTCCTATATTTACCACTTTAAAAGCATATTGCCTGTTTTCCTATAGCCACAGGGTGGCGGTGAGCCCGGGTGCGAGGGCCCTGCTATCGCTGCTTGCAGCTTTAATTAGGGCCCAAGACAGAAAGGCGCAGGGCCCTATTGATCCCCTAAGGATTATTATTAGGGCCCAAGCCAGTAAGGCGCAGGGCCCTATTGATGGGAATAGAAGTTGTTGTAACTCAGGCATACAATGTCCAATCTGCCCCAAACTTCACATGTTTGATAAGACTCCTGACCTGAACAGATCTACATGCCCATATTCAGTTATAGTCATAGCGCCACCAGCTGGCAACAGGAAATGGCATGTTTTACACTAACTTAAACATGCAATGTCCAATTTGCACCAAACTTCACATATTTGGAAAGAGTCATGGCCTGAAGACATCTAAAGGCCAATATTCAGTTATAATCATAGCGCCACCTGTTGGCCATAGGACACGTCATGCTTTATACTAACTCAAACATACCATGTTCAATCTGCACCAAATTTCATATGTTTGATAAAAGTGCTGGACTGAAGAAATCTACATGCCAAAATCCAGTTATAGTTATAGCGCCACCAGCTGGCAGCAGGAAGATTGGCACATATAAATGACTTTGATGTATTCCTCCTATATTTACCACTTTAAATGCATATTGCTCGCCGTTCGCTGTTTTACTAAAGCCACCCCCTGGTGGTGAGCCCGGGTGCGAGGGCCCGTTCATCGCTGCTTGCAGCTTTAATTATTATTAGGGCCCAAGCCAGTAAGCTGAGGGCCCTATTGTTTTTCTTAGGATTATTCTTATTCTTATTAGGGCCCAAGCCAGTAAGGCGAGGGCCGTATTGTTTTTCTTAGGATTATTAGGGCCCAAGCCAGAAAGGCGCAGGGCCCTATTGATCCCCTAAGGATTATTATTATTTTTAGGGCCCAAGCCCAAGAGGGTGAAGGGCCCTATTGTTTTCTTTAGAATTATTGTTTGTTATTAGGGCCCAAGCCACTAAGGCGCAGGGCCCTATTGCTTTTCTAAGGATTATTAGGGCCCATGACCAAAGGGGCGAAGGGCCCTATTGTTCTTCTAAGGATTATTTCGGTGAACATGATCTCAAGACATTGGGGATGCTAAATTGCAATGGGATTTTTGATATCTCGAACGGTTTGCCCGCAGCGAGGCGGTGAAGTTATGGCGAGAAATGGGAAACAGGAAATGTCTAATAACATCCACATACATTGTCTGATTTTGATCAAACTGCAGGAATTTGTTTGTTGTATGATGCCGATCGCATTGATGTGACTATTAGGAGTCAAAGATATAGCGCCACCAACTGGCTTTAGGAAGTGTGTCATTTTCAAAATGCTTTTAATTCAGCATCTTATTTTTACCCGATTTGCTCGCTGCTTGCAGCTATATTTGTTTTTGTTTTTATTGACAATTTTTAAATGTTAAAAAGCAAGTTACTTCTGTGCATGACAAATAAGGATGAACACAGGATGATGTTATGAAGCAGTCATCTTACATTGCTTTTGATTTTGTATAACATTTGTTGATAATATAAAACAATTGCAATGAATAGGTTAAATGGCTACATATAGAAAGTGACTGAGGTAAAGAAACAACATAAATCAAGCACAAGATGTATGTTTGCTCTCTTGAAGATGCAGAAAGACAAGTTGCTTGTTTGAATCCTTAAATCCTGATAACATCCTCTAAAAATGACAGCTTTATAGACACATAAATATGTACTAAATAGATATTAGAAATAAAACATGAACAACTAAAGTTGTAAGTTTCTACAGTTGTGCTGTGTACTGTATATCCTGAAACTGCCTCAAAGAACCACTGAATCAAATAAAACACAAAAGAAACGCAACACTGATAAGATAGATGCTTTCATTATGCTTTATTGGTTCAGCAGCAATAAAAAAGAGAAGAAAAGAAAGTATAATCAAGATTTTCTGTTAATATTCTGTGACAGACTATATAGTGCATTTACGGACGGAGCCGTCAACACACACGACCCACAGCACTCCCAGGTCAAAGCTCACATGCATGTGGTTATTGGGACAGGCAGTCATCAAATGCCACTTTGTGCCAGAACGGTTGGATCGAGTGATGCCAATTCTGCAGTAGATAAAAATGATTTCTTGAATGCAGTGTTTGAAAATCATTCTTGATGAATTCATCACTTTTGTTCATAAAACTTGTAATATTATGACTGTTCAGCTTACCTTTGGTATAACTTTCCATTAGAGTTGATACCAAAGACACTTCCATCAGTTGCTACTTCAATCATGGACAGAGATCCAGCAATATTCACAAAGGTGCCGGACCCAGAACAGACATTATTAGACACATCCTGCACGAGACCGAAAGAGACACAATCCAGTCAGTCGTTGTACAGTCACATCAAGAAACGTTTTTGCTTTTATCTGCTTCTGCCTTTATTTTTGATATACATTTTGGTGCACTTGAACTTGTTCTCTAGCTCTTGTATCTAACATCGTTGCATTACCCTCATGATCCAGATTTTGTCATCTGCGCTCACTCCCCAACAGCTGTACGGACCACAGCTGTAATATTTCAGCCCTCCATTAAGTTTAACCCAAGGAGAAGTGCAGGATGGCCAGTTGTTGTTAGCATCCATATTTGCGCAATATATTTGATCATTCTTATTGACACCTGCAAGGATCTGATCACCTCCAGCATCCACCTGTTTGAGAAGCCCTAACAACACAATCAACAGGTTGGATGAAGGATTAGTTTAAATGGAAAATCAACAATAAGATGATATATTTGGCACCATGGATTTAAAACATTGACTTTAAATGAAGTTAATGTACATTAATGACAGATTAAACATGTCTTTTCTGTAATTTGTGCTTTCTGTAACTCTTTACCTGGAAACTGAACGAAGGAGCCACTCTTAAGCTTGAAGATGTTGTAAGCTGAATCCACCCCCAGCTGACCAGCAGGACCAACACTGAAGTGCTTTAGAGACGTACTGATCTTTGTGAACACATTATCAATCAGGACAAACGCTTCATTATGATTGTTCACTCCAACCACTGAGCCCGACCCAGCGTCTATCTGCTTCAGGTTACCATTCATCACAGTACAGTGTAAAGCTGTGAAAACATGGTGCAAAATAATCAGTGATTGCAAATACAAAGATGTTTAAAGAAATACAATATTTATATTTTTATATAGAAAGTAAACTAGCAAATATTTTTTTTTTTTTGTTACCAAAACACATAGTTTACCCAGAGTGTGAAGAAACTTGGAGCAGAAGAGTAGCAGGATGCTCCGATAAACCTTCATTGCTCCACGATACAGTTTGTTGTAGGATACCATAACGTTCTCAAGTTTATTCTCAAGGGCATATTTATATACGATAGATTCATGCAAAATCAAACAGGATGTACTGCACATCCAATCAAAGTACTCACAGGTCAAACAATACCCTATATGGATATTAAGAAACATAACATGATGCACATGCGGGTGAGTATGTACGTTATAGTGTGTGCGCTGAGTTTCCATTTTCTTAAAGTTGTGACCTTGTGTCCAAGGTTTAGTTCTTGTTTTGTCTAGGTGTGTCCAAGATGTGCACATAATGAGAGGAAATTAGTCTTGCAAAAGTCTTGCAAGAATAGTCAAAAGTGAAGCCCAAGAAATAAAAAATAACAGACCTGTTCAGAGAAGTAATGTATATACTGTAAGTGAATTCTGTATAAGTAAGAAGAAAATATGATCAGTATGAAGACATCCTTTTCTTGTTAGGTCAAGATTTAGCAGTCAGTGCACTGTAAAAAATTTGTATCATTTTTACAGTAAATAATTGTGAAATGACAGCTGTATACTGTGACCTCACAGTAGTTATTCCATACTGTGATTTAGCAGTATGCTCCTGTATAATTACTGTATTTAGCTGTGAAGTTACAGTTAATGCCATCAGATTACTGCAATTTAGCAGTATTCTGCTGTAGAATTGGTGTAAAGTGTAATAGTAATGCAAATCAGTAGCCAGTAATGTGCTTTTAATTTACTATCAAATTTATTGGTAATTGACAGGGCTGCCCTCGACTAAGGATTTTTCTGGTCGACTAGTAGTCTTCATTTTAAGCAGGCCCGGACTGGCTAATCGGGAGCACCGGGAGGATTCCCGGTGGGCCGGTCTGTTTTTTTGGTCGCGGTGTTGTCGTGCCACTGGGGTTGAAATATGGATGCTGTCCACTGATCTATAATAGATGTTATATATAGATCAGTGATGCTGTCCCTAAACTGCCTCCACTCTTTTAATTTATACTTTTCTCGCAGCCCATATTATTATTTTAACCAGGCCATATCAATAACAAATTCTCAATTGATAATTAATCATTCTTTTTGTGCAAATCATTGTTTTATTTGTGAAGTAGCCTTTTGACAAAGGCTTTAAGACCAAGCGGAATCCTCTGCCGGCT